GCTTCTGACACATATCCCCACTGCGCTGTGTGTATGTGCACGTGTGCACATGCTTTTTGTTTTTTCCTTTTTAGAGCAAGGTACTCCCTCTGTTGCCCAGATTGAAGCGCAGTAGTGGATAGTGGCTCACTGCAACCTTAAACTCCTGGCTCAAGTGATTCTCCCTCCTCAGCCTTCTAAGTAGTTAAGACTACAGGTGTGTACCACCATGCCTGGCTAACTTTTGAACATTATTTTTAGAGCCAGCATCTTACTATGTTTGCCCAGGCTGGTCTTAAAGTCTTGGCCTCAAGTGATCCACCCATCCCAGTCTCCCACAGTGCTGGCATTGCAGGCTTAAGTTATTGTATTAATAGTTGGCCTACACTGTCTTTTGTTTCTTCATTTACAAGAGGTAAAAATCAGTGAGAATGAATGCTTTCATTTAGATTCTATGATGACTGCCATGTAAATCAGCTACCTTTTCAGAAATGACATTGAAATACTGCATCCTCTTTGACTTATACCCTGCACAGGCACGCAGGGTCTAGATGGGGCCAATGATGGTTCCAGATATATATACACATGGGTCCAGGGGCAGCAAAACAGGCCAGGCTGCTGTATGAACTTGAACCTCTGCTTCATTTCTGGTCTCTGTTTTACAGTAGTGCTCACCAATATTTCAATAAATTCTGCTGAAGTTACCCTAATAGGACATTATTCACCCCCCAAAGACTTATCTCTTCACTATGACATCTCCATCCTTTATTTTTAGGAACCAGTCTTTCAAAACCAGAGAAATCAGGTACCTTCCTCAAAGTCATGCTCCAACCCAGGCAAACTATTAAATGATTGCATCTGTTAGCTGGATTAGTCTCTATGTATATTGAACTGTGATGAAAATCTATAGCTTTACTTTAGAAAATTATTATTGATGGACTATTAATATTATATTAACAATTTCTCAGTAAGGGTGTTTTTTCCTCATTGAATCTAGGAATGCTGGACTTTAAGTTGATAACTGTGTCATTTCAATCAAGTACAAGGATTTTGAGGCAGATTTTGCTAAATATCTTAGTGATCCACCACAGTGTTTTATGTAACTCTTTTCAAGAATATCAATACATGAATTATTTTAGATGATAACATATTAAATAATCTATGAATATCATGAAAATAAGACAGTTCGAATGTTGTTTAACAAGATAGTAGCTGAGAATAACAAACCTCAAAAAAAATCAAAGTAATGATTGACCTCTTTCCAAATATATCTATAGAGTATATGTCATTGCTTTTACAAAACACACTTATGAGTTTTCTTTCTAAAAGGTAACTGAACTGAACTTGATTTTAGTGGTTCGGTGATTCCTAAGCAAAAAGCTGAGGGATTAAGAAAGGATATCTTCAAAATGAAATTTGTCTCACGTTGCTGGGACATTTGGGTTGAAAGAAGTAGAGAAGAATAATTCTTCAGGTGATGACCCTTGTTCAATGGTTTAGTCCCACCTTATCCCCCACTGTACCTTTAGATGCCTTCAGTTCCTTCGCATTTCATGATGCATTAGCTTCATTCCATTTCCCATGTCGGAGATCTGATTCTCGTCAAAAAGCCCTTTGTCAAATTTCACATAAAATAATGTTAGTCTTGAAGGATTCTAGTACATCCCCTCCATCCTAGTAAAATCTCAGCCTGCTCTCTCCAAGACCCGAAGAAACTACAGCATTAATAGCCAGGGGATTCTGCTGCAATGATTGACTCTACCATAAATCCCTTCTCTGTTTCCATGGAGAAGCTATCCTCAGCCACCCACGGTGCTGTCTATTGGGCAACACATTACCCTCAGAGGGGGACTGGGAAGAGGTGTGGGCTTGTTTTCTATAATTAATCCCTAAGAACTCTGCACCTATCTTCCATAAAGCCCCGGAGTCCCCATGTGAGTAGATTTCCCTCTTTATTCTAGTCAAAGTCTCCTGGAGGGATCCATATGGTGGTAAATTGCTTTTGCAGTTGAAACTGCTTAGGCAGCAAGAGGAAACAGTTTTCATAGCCTTGGAGAAAATGCCTGCCCTTAATAATGATGGAAAAGACTCTTCTGTTTCCAATTTATTTGTCAGAAGTAAGCAGAATTGAGCTCATTAAATACTGTTACTATAGCTGTATATTCAAAATGTCTACATATCTACATATTCAGGAGAAAAATGTCAATACCATGAGCTTTTAGGATGAGAAAATCTAGACAAGTGACTCAAGAAACTGTCCAATCAAACCTACATTTGGAAAGAAATGCAAAATAATTTATTATTGCTGAAAGAAGCTATTAGGAAGAATATGATTGCCTTTCCTTTGACAACCTATTGATTGGACGTCTGTCTAAGAAGGTTAAGTTGGTGCCTTCTCTAGACATATTTCATTAGAAAACAGATGGTGATTTACAAAAATGGTATAAGATATCCTTGATACAAAAAGTCATATCTTGAAATGCTTTATATTTTTTCAAAATTTGTAAATTAATTCAAGATCAAATTGGTACACATATACAAAAATCTTGGTGTAAGAGAAAGTCAAAAGGCTTGGTTCTAAAAATGAGATTCATTCTCAAGTATTTTAAAACCGTATATTTTGAGCTCTTGAAATGCAGCTGATGCAACTCAGGGACTGCATTTTTAACCTTTATTAGCTTTTAATTAATTTACATTTAACTAGCTATGTGTGTCTAGTGGCTACTGAATTGGACAGCACAAATCAAGTCTCACAGTGCTTTTCCTTGAAAATAAAACCAAAATATTTTGTATATTGTCACTTGTGCCATGTTCCTGTGAGACAACATGAATCAGCCTTAACGGCTGTAAGAAATTAACAGGTATTGCTGTATTTTCCAAAGGGACCCTCTGCAGACCTGGATTATCTCTCCGCAGCTCCCTTCGCTCTCACTCCGTCCTGTGAGCTCTATCCACCTTGGTGTCCCTGGACTTTCAGCTCTGTTGCCTCGAGTCGGAGAGACCGGGTTTGCCTGCCCTGTACCATGTTCCGGAAACCCTCTAAGGTCCACAATACTGGGAGGAGCTTTACCCAGTCTTCATGACCACATTCTGGATGGCTGGATGGCTTCCTGACAAAGCCTCCTGTTTCTCTGGGTCCAGCATGCATGAAGGCCCAACACCTGTACTTCTGTGGCTATTTAGAAACTCTTCCAAAAAGGACCACTTGGGTCCAGTTGCCCCTGAGGATTTTGCCCTCATTGATGGGCTGTCCTAGCCACTTTGGAAATGGCAAACAGCTTCGAGGATAAATACCGGGATCTCAATGTTGCCAGGAAACTAAAGTGGGGGTCTAACTCCCCCCACTTACTTCTAATGCTTTCAGATGGTGATTTCACTCTGAAGGTAATGTGGTGCCGTTTGTCAATTTTTAAAAGTCTATTTTTTAAAAGTTAACAGTAGAAAAGATCTATAAGAAGCAAGGACTCCAGAAATTTCTGCCAAATGACAGAAATTCATGAGAAGCTTCTAAGACTTAGAAGTGCTTCATTTTCAGCTCTGTAAAGGACAAAGGCAGTTTATGTCGAATTTGAGTCAGGTTTGGTGTGGAGTACTAATTACTGTCTTTGCCATCCTTTGAGAGAGAGAGAGCACAGTAATGACTCAGATGAAATCACTTCTCATTTCTTTTGGCAGCATAGAAGTGATTGCTCTAAAGGAGGAAAAAAACGTCAAAGATTAAGGTTATAAAGGTTAGCATAAAACCCATTGTCTTCTGTTCTGAATTTTTAAATTTCTTAGAATTTTTCTTTTTTTCTAATGTTTTGCCATGTGATTTCTGAAGAGAATCTGTCCTCAGTTCAAAAACCATATTTCCCCAAAGAACAATATGTTCTGAAGGAGCTGCCAGGACAGGGGCAGGTGATGAGTGAAGGCAGCAGCTGCGGTCCCGCCGAGCGGGTCTCCTGGTGCACGCGGGGAGCGCGGGGAGGAACGTCGGCGCTGGCAGCACAGCAGCGCGTTTCCGACGCTGGCCAAGTGGAAACTGAAGCCGCTTCGCTAGGAGGATCTGGGTGCGCAGCAGGGGGAGCAGGCCATATGTGTGCCCGGAAAACAAACCCAGCGCTACCGAGGACAAAGAAGGGCTTCTCTTCTCTTGTCTCTCACCTACCCCTGTGCATCAATTGAGCCGATCACACTCTAACTCCTGTTAAAGAATTGGCTTTTTGCAGGATTCAGGCTTTGTCTGATGAACAACATGAACCGGATTGTCATCTGTGCTCATACATCCTGCAGCTAATGGAAGATGGCCATTATCTTCCACGCCCCCTAGCCTCCAGGCTCGGTAATTCTGCATGAAAAACATTTCTACATAATCATTCCTCTTTAAAAAAAAAAAAAAAAATTGCTCTAATAAAAAAAAATGGCAAAGCTCTTGCTATCTTTCTAGATGAAGACTGCACTGATTTAACAAAGGAAAAATAAATGTTCCTGTCTGAGTTTTGGAGGGTGTGTGTGTGTGTGTGTGTTTATCTTTTTTCTTAGCTTTGGAATGCTGATGCCCCGCCCATCCTGGCCAAGGGAGAGGCTGAGCCACGGGTCCACATGTGGCTCCCAGAGGAAGTCACAATGCAGGCAGGCAGATGCCAGCAAATTCAAAGGCAGATCGATGTCCAAAGACCTTCGTGGAGTTTAGCAACCAATACCCTGGACTGGAATAATCAGAACTACATTCTAGTCTGGCCCTGCATCTAACCACTAAAACTCCAGAAGTCCATTTAATGTTGGTGGCCTCAGTTTACCAAGTTCTCAACTGAGGAGTTTAGCATGGGGTTAAAATGGAAGGTTCATTCAGGCTGTGATATTCTGCAACTCTGAGGGTCTCATACAGTCCAACTTACTATGCTTTGGCTCTCCAACTGGCTCCTCTCTTTTGTTTGCTCTTTATGAAGCACTATCTTCATGGAAGACTTTTAGACGTATTGTTAATTTTTCTGTGAAGTGGAACAAGAAGGTGATAAGGAAGACCCGGGCTAATGTGTTTTGATACTGTTTTATTTTAGTTACATGCAATGTACACGGCCATAAATCCTACAAAGCACTCTGTTTTGAAATGTGCTACTTCATTAAACAATTTTGGATCAATCAATCTTTAAAACATTTGATTTGAATTAGAATCTGAATCTTATAGCAATAAAAAAGAACATGGAGATATAAAATAATTTAAATGATGTTATGGGGCAAAATTATTAACATGAGAATAGTCATAGACTTCCTGCTACCCTATCTTGCAACAGGCATCCTATAATTAAATTACCAACTCCAGTTCCCCTTTCTCAACATCCTAAAGAAGAAATTCTTGCTGGAAGAGATACTAAGCAGATCACGTAATAACAGCCTGAGTGAGAAGAAAAGGAAGGAGAGGGAAACTTGGCTTTGTGGGAGGTAGGGCTGGAGAGCTTACGCGACTGAGCTGAGTGAGGAAAATGATTATAGTTTTGAAATAGCATTTTAGTAAGTTTGTTGTGGCGTAATTACAGATCTCTCAAAGACATAAACTTTACTTTTTAATTTTTTATGGCTGCTAAAATATGCTTCCTGAGTGCAATGCAACTCTGACACCAAGTTATGTGATGCCAAGCTTTTTGAGGATGAACAAAATTAGAGATCCAGTTCCAAAACGCTTCTAAAATCTTCTCGGGCTGAACTAGGGCCCTTTCTTTCCATGCTTGTCTTTTCTCTTTAACCCACCCACCAGACTAGAACATATTAAATGCCGTTAGCAGCCGGGGATGCAAGGGTGAGGAGGTCCCCATTGATTCTGGGCTCGCTTGCAACAGCTCTGTGTGGACTCCAGGGATACCACTGGCCTGCGGGCTTGAAGAATTTGTCTGTGACTATTTCCAGCGATAAATTAACTGGTAACTTTACTCCCCATTTCTTCTAACCCATCCTTTTTCAAATTCATCCTCTTCTTGAACCACATTTTTTCCCCCATCTCTGGCATATCCTGTCAATGAGATCTAGATTGTTCCCAGTTTAATATCCATTTTAACATGTGAGAGGATAAGAAAGCATATTCATAAAACACCAAGTGTTGAAGTAAAAGCTTCCTTCATTGAAAGCAGACATGTGCAATGTTCCAGGAAAGCCACTAGAATGAGTTGCCAGGACACCCATCCAGTGATATCATCTTTCCATGGCAGTGATATTAGGTAAGAAAGACTAATTCCTTCTTTCACTGAATATTTTTGGAATATCTCTAGATATAATGATCATACGTGAAGGTCATTTAAGCATGTGTTAGTACTTCAATATTGCATTATTTCCTTTATACTTATGTTTCAGGATTTTTATTAATAAAGATCTATCAAGTAAGATTGTGTCAATTTTTAATTAACAACAACAACAACAAACATAATTACAAAAAACTACCTCAGTGGCTTAAACAAGTGAGAGGTGTTTTTTTTCCTCCTGTAACAAAGTGGATAAAGGAAGGCAATGCAGGCTAGAGTACCTGCACAAAGGATGTTCAGGAATCAGACTGAGTCTATCTTCCTGCTCTGCCATCTGTGGTGTGTGGCTTTCGTCCAAGTGATCACAGAATGGCTGCTGTGCATTCAGGAAAGAAGAAAGGGGGAAGAGACTCAGGTTTGCCTTTACCCAGACTTTATTTAGAAAGGGACAGCCTACACAGGGCCTTGTGCCTATATTTCATTGACAAGACTGTCACCTGGCCTTCATCTAGCTGCAAGGGAGTCTAGGAAGGTAAATATTTTGCTTTCCAGCCTCTGTAATAGAGAAAAGCAAAGGGAAAAGGTGTGGGATTGAGTGTCAAGAGAGACAACACCTGCCACAGTGACTTATCACATGCATAACAATGAATGCACAGAGCTGCATCCCTCCCTGCAGCCTGCCAAATTATTTTGCAGTAACATCCTAAAACCATGAAGACTAAATGCTTTCTGAACATTATCATGAGGTATATTTCAACGATTAAATTTTCACCTTCCAAGAAATGTTATAGAAACACTGCTCATTTCTTACTTTGATTTTATACTTGAGACATTAGAAAGAAACCAGTCAAAAACCACAAAGGTTTTATCTTTTTCAGTAATCTTTTACAATAATCATAGGCACTTGTTCTCTGTCACTCTCAGCAAACATTTCCATTTCTGTCTCCAGCTCTTCCGTTACCTCTAGCTCTTCTGTTCTCACATTTATTTTGTATTTGAGAGCAGGAGCTGTACCTGAATTATAGGAAGGAGGAGATTGCCAATTCACCAGCTGGCTATGTACTGTTTCTTTTTATACAGCAGATTTTGTCCTAACTCAGATTCATTGGGTTGAGTAGTCGCATTCGGATAGCTACATGCCAATCATGTGTACCCTGATTACTCATTATGAGCCTTAGGATACGACACAATTCACTAATGAGCACATTATAATGCTGGCCAGTGCTAATTAAATGATAATCATGTACATTGCTTTATTTACAGTCTGCTGTTTAAATTAATTGGGCATTTAATTGAACGCAGTGTGAAAGAAATTGGAATTGGGTTTAGAGGTTCACTGAAGTTACTTTCACCTGCCATCTCACATGTAGGTGAGATTATTTACTTGATCTGAAAATTTAGAGAAAATCCAAGCAGATATAGTGCTCATTTTATGATGGTACACATGCATATGTAAATTTATCTCAAACTGTGTTTGAAAACAACTAAATTCTTAATTTTGTATTTCCTCTAACATCCTTTTGTGCCTTGATTACAGACAGATTTTGCATGCATAAGGAATATTTAATAAATCAAACCCTTAGTTGGAAATATAAGGTGGGATCTTAAACCAACTTGACAAAAATTTTCTGATATTTTCTTAGGATAGGAAACTTATATTTAATTATTGAGTAAATATATGGCAAACTACACCTAATTATGATTCTATGTATTTTCCACTTTCAGGACATAGTATCAAAATATTCCAGGATGTACATTTTAAAATGAGGGTATAATTGCCAAAAATTATAGGCGTGAGTACAGCACTAAATTCAAAGTATCTTTTCATTGAAATAATTTCCTAAGGGCACATGTAGAGTAGCTCTAGAGTAACTAAATAAAAAAGTTTTTGGGCCGGGTGTGGTGGCTCACCCCGGTATCTCAGCACTTCGGGAGGTTGAGGCAGGTGGATTGTCTGAGGTCAGGAGTTTGAGACCAGCCTGGCCAACGTGGTGAAACCCCATCTCTAATAAAAATACAAAAAATTAGCCAGGCTTGGTGGTGCACACCTATAATCCCAACTACTTGTGAGCCTAAGCCAGGAGAATTGCTTGAACCTAGGAGGTGGAGGTTGCAGTGAGCTGAGATCGTGCCACTGCACTCCAGCCTAGGCGACAGAGAGAGACTCCACCTCAAAAAAAAGAAAAAAAAAAGTTTTTGTACAAAAAACCTAGAGGTCAATTTTTCCACTTTTTTCTTTCTCAAACAGTAGGATTTCTAATATATGTGCATATCTTTCATGCGATTTTGAAATGGACCAAAATTAACTGAGGGTCTCTTTTCAAAATAAGTTGGAAAATGCGTTCCTTCAATTTTTCCTAAGAATTGTTCACAAAAAAAATTATAAATGGCCTTTATAGATCAGTTGGAAGAAAACTTGTTTTGGGACAAGGTCCTCAGGAAGCTTAGCTAATATGACAGTTTTTAATGTCATACTGTATTTTGTTACACTAAACAATTTTAGTTATTTCACTTTGGTCAACTCACACTGGTGAATCAAATAAAATGAATGATGTATAGAATTTTAACCACTTCTGATACAGACCAGTGTAGCTCTATGGCTTCCAACATCAAAATGGCTTGATTGCCAAGTCTTTTTCTCATCCAAACTGACAAACTGAAGTTTTGCAAAGTTTCTGAGTACAGTGTAAGGACACATTCCAAGGGAGAGGCTACACTCATGTTTTTATAAGACTAGAATTATAGAGACAACTGAGATTCAGATTAGAATATCCATGCACCTGATGTTCTAATCCTGTGTGGCCCAATCTAGTAGCCACTAGTAGCTCTTGAGAACAGAATTTGGCATAAGGCTGATTTGAGCTAAGATGTGCTGTAAGTATAAAGGCACCTCAGATTCTGAATATTATGATAATGTAAAAATCTCAGAATTTTTTAATTGATCACATGTTGTGATGGCAATATTTTGGATATGTTGGGTTGAATAAAATATACTGTTAGCACAAATTTCTTTTTTCCTTTTTTGTGTGACTAGAAAACTTAAAATTACCTACGTGGCTCACATTAGTGGCCCACATTATATTTCTGTTGAAAGGCACTGCTCTGACCTATGAAAAGAATGGGTGTTTTCCACTTTTATTACTTATGCATGTGGTAGTTAAGTTATGAACCACCTGTGTGAATTTGAAAAGACTACTGAACAAGATATATTGAGGTATTGACTTATGCCAAGTACTGAGTAAAGCACTGGGGACATTAAGATGAACTAGGAAGTCTCTGCCCCCCGAGACAATTGATAGACATTTTAGTATATGCAGGGAGCTCTGGTCACACAGAGGACAAATGGCTGGAACCAGAAAAAAAATTTCTACCAAAATTTTGGCGGAAATTCTTCCAGACATCTCTTTATGCATACAAGTATGTACAAGCACATGCCAAACATAGATACACACATAACAGATTTTTGTATGTATGAGTGTGTGTGCATAGATGATTAGATGATAGATAGATAGACAGATAGCATCATACCATCTTTGATGATCAGAAACTCACTTTTTCTGCACAACATATCATGGGCATTGTTCCACAAGAAAGCAATAAACGTAAGTCAGCATCGTTATTTTGGCTTCATGATAAATGTCATTGTGTGTATGTACCAAAACTCATTTGACCTTTACCTCATCCTCTTATTTATAGATTTGAGATTTTTTCCAAATGATTGTGAACCATGCAGGAAGAGAAAACTGTGCTCACTTTTTGTGATTAGAAGTTTAAAATAAATTCTGAGAAATAGGATCTCTGGTGAATCTATTTCTGGACTCCCTTCTGTTCTGGTCATGTAGCTTTCAAATCTATAATAGTTTCAGTATCTATTGTTTTAATTTTTGAAACTCTGTACTGCATTTCTTCCCCCTTTTCTAATTTTAAACTTTTTTTTTCAATGAAAGATACACATGTACATAAATCTTTTAGCAGTTTCTTTCAGTATTCACCTTCATCTTTTACAATAAGATGTTTTTATTGCTGTTTGTTTAAATGTTTAACTGTTTAGTTTCCATTATGAAATATGAGGACCATGAGGATCCAGTTCCTTTTTATCCATGTCCTATTCCATCCCCAACCTACCCCACATATTTTCTTGTTCCTTTCATAATCTGTCTATAATTCTGGTTTAGATAAGTATTAAGCTTTTACATTGATGTGACTTTGTGAATAACATTTTCAGATGACTCATACAGTGTAATATATTTCCTTTTTGTGTAATTTTTCTTTCCCCCCAGAGCTAATAGCTCAAAATCTCCACTCTCACTCTCTCTCTGTTTTCTATTGCTAATTTACCCTCAAACTCTAGCAGGGAGTTGTGTCTTCTCTCAGCATTCAAACCCATCAGGCAGTCTAAGAGCACTGGTGGGACATTCCTCTGCCAGGGGGCATTCTGGGGGACATTTCTGGGGGATATTCCTCTCAGAGCCCATTTCCCTGCTTCAGTCTTGCTATTTGCTATGGCTATAGCACACCTGTAATCCTGGGATATCCTTCCCAGTCATCCTGGAGATTGCCAGCATCTCATTCTTGAGTTAGATCATCTGTTCTTACATCTCATATCTTCTTATTTCTTTGTCTGTGCTCTTATTTTAGAAAAAGCCCCCTTTTGTGGCTTCCTGAGAAAAGACACATGGCAGTAGAAGCGTTGAAACCTGCGTGACTGAGAATGTCTCTAGACTTCTCTCATTCTTGAGAATAGCTTATAATTTCTCTTTAGAATTTTGAAGGCAAACATCTATGAATTTTAGTTTTATTGTCAAAAGGTCATATGTCATTATGCTTTGTTTTTTTTGAGACAAGGTCTTGCTCTGTTGCCCAGGCTGGAGGGCAGTGGAGCAATGTTGGGTCACTGCAACCTCAACTACCTGGACTCAAGCAATCACCCTACTTCAGCCTCCCAAGTGGCTGGGACTCCAGGGGCATGCCACAATGCCTGGCTAATTTTTGTTTTTCTTTTCTTTCTTTAGAAATGGGGCTTTGCCAGGTTGCCCAGGCTGATCTGAAACTCCTGGGCTCAAGCAATCCTCTCACCTCGGCCCCTTAAAGTGCTGGAATTACAGGTATGAGCCACCATGTGTGGTCACATCATTATAATTCTTCATTGATTATATGTAACACATTCCCTCTTCTCTCCTGGAAAATATTCTGCTTTTCCCTAGTTTTCTAAAACTTCATAATGTGCCCAAATAGGATTTTTATTTATTATATTCAGTGTTGGGTGAACTCTTTAAGCTTGGAAATTCATATTCTTGAATTACAGGAAATGCTCTTAGACTATTTTTAAACACAATTTCTGCCCCTGAGTTTTCTCCGAACCCTCTGGAACTAGACTATTGACTAATTATTGCACCACCTGAATTGTTACCCTCAATTTTTTCTTTTCTCTTTTTTCCCTAATTTTCTTCTCTTTTTGTTTTACTTTCAGAGAAATTTCCCCAACTTTATCTTCCAATGCTTCAATTTTTTTTCCTGTTAACTTTTATTAACTGGCATTATGAGGAGAGTTTGATCACAACACAAACACATTATGAAAACATTAGGAAATTACAGACGGACTTGCAATAAGTTCAAACAGAACAAATTAAGTCAAACCTTTGGTCATCTGAGAAACAATAACGTAAAATTGCAGAGACCAAATCTTTGTCACTGATAGAGGATGCATAATAAAAACATAGACATTATCGCCCCCTGGTGTTGTAAAATAAACATGCACTGTTATTTACTCATTTTTGAAGTTACAATCTTCTCTCCTGTCACTGAGCCTCAATTGTTTCCCCAATTTCAAGCCTTCTTTAGTCAATCTTTTCCCTCTCATCAATAACTTTCAAGTATCTTCTTTAAAAATATAATTTGTATGCTGGGTATGGTGGCTCACGCCTGTAATCCCAACACTTTGGGAGGTCGAGGTGGGTGGATCACAAGATCAGAGGATCGAGACCACCCTGGCTAACACGGTGAAACCCCATCTCTACTAAAAATACAAAAAATTAGCCGGGCGTTGTGGTGCGCACCTGTAATCCCAGCTACTAGAGGCTGAGGCAGGAGAATTGCTTGACCCTGGGAGGCGGATTTTGCAGTGAGCCAAGATCGAGCCACTGCACTCCAGCCTGAGTGACAGTGTGAGACTGTCTCAAAAGAAAAAAAAAAAAGGAAAGGAAAAAGAAAATATAATTTGTATTCATTCCTCACAAATCCTTTCCAGGACATTGGCCACCTCCCAGCACAAGAGCCCCTGCTCTTGTTCTTTGAAATGCAAACCAAAACAATGGCTTTAGTCTTCTTGCATCAAAATTAGAGGATTACCATGTATTTTCTGCAAACCCTAATTTCTTCTAAAAGGCATCTTTAGTCTGCAACTAACTCGTCATTGCCATTTTTCATAACCAGAATGCATTCCTTCATCGTCTGCCTCCTGACTTGGCAACCATCAAGAATTCTGGCCTGAGCAGTTAACTTGCTAAACCAGCTTTGCCATTATTTACCAGGAAACACTGGAAAAGAAACATAAATAATATACCTCCATATCCTACAGTCCTAGCTTAATTTATAGGCAGGATTTCATTTGTTGGCTAAGGGAAGAAAAACCATCTACATAGAGTGAGCTAGGGAGAAAACATGATGGCAGGATACGGCGGTGGGAACTGTGCAGTCCTGCTACCAAGTTATGCATTTCTGTGGCAAGAGCTCTTTTTTATATTTATTTCATTTTTATTGCTTCTTGTCTTTATTTCAATAGACGGAAATATTTTCTCTTAACTCATTGAATATATTTATTACCACTTTTTGAGTGCTTTTCTAATCACTGCCTTGGCTCTGTTAGTTCTCATTTCCCTTTTCTAGCTGTCCTATTGGTGCTTTTGCTTTATGTGTTAAAATACTTCCTCAGTGTCTGGTTGTCCTGGGAAGTCAATTCCCATGCAATAAGGAGATACCAAAAAACCTGGGGAGCTCTGATCGAGTGGGTGCTTGTTGATTGGCAGGTGGGCTTCATAGGAGGGTAACATGGCTGGAAAATTTTCTTAGGATTCCAAGGATGGGGTCTTTGACCTCTTTTCTTAGATTGGCCCGTTTCCCCAGCAAATAATTCTTTGATCTCCTGCCAGAGGAGAGGGGCTGGGAGTTCTTCTGTTCATAGACAGCTTTACACTTAATCCCCCCTCTCTTGTATATTAGCTGTCCCTTCAACTGCACCTTGTGTCTCTAACTGCAAACCTCCCTGTGAGCCTCCCCAGAGAGGGAGTATCCAGTCCCCGCTGGACCTGGGGAGGGCAGCCATCCTGCTGCAGGCGGGGCTCTGCAATTCTGTTTCCATACAGGCTCTCGGCCCATTCTTCTGTCTTCACTCCCTCTTGTCCCCTTGCCTCCTCCTTCCAGAAGGACCCAGTGTTTTTACATCTTGAGCCTTTCTAGGGGTCTGTGGTACAAAACAGGACGTTCCTAGGCTTCCCCCACTAACCGGTTACATTTTTGTTTTCTCTCATCTTGTAACTCTATTATCAGTTGTCCATTTGCTTTTTGGCTCCCAAGATTTTGCAGGTGGAATCACTGTGTTTTTTTCATTCTTGCAGATTCCTGCTGTCTTTAGTTCTTTCGAGGTAGTTCTGTGGTGTTTTGAGGGAGCAGGGGCAAATGAGTGCTTTTCTGCCATATTTACTTGTTGTCTCTTTTTTTTTTTTTTTTGGTATTAAACCTTATGAAAGTATAGCAAAGTAAAATGCACGATTTTCGTTTCATGAATAGAATTTTGCATGGAGGGAGGTGCTGAGGAGTACAAGGCGTGGGAGAGAGTCCCCTGCTCCGGCCACACTGGCAGGTTCTCACAGTAATGGTAGCTTCGCCATCCCCACACTCACTCTGAAGCTACAGCATAAATCAACGGCCCTAACTAGAAAGCCTGTGCGAATACTTTCCCCTTCTGCCTCCCTCAGCCTGACAGTATCCACCCTTTCCCTATTCTCAGCCTTAGAGATGAAGGAAGCTGCTTTCACGTGCAAGACAACTTTAGTTAAGAAACACAGCTGGTCTTCAGTCCTTTTGTTCTTTTCAAATTTGACCTTAGTCTAGCTCAACAAATGTTTGTTGAGTTCCTGTTATAGACCAGCCTCTGTGTACACCAACGGTTCAAAAATGCAAGACAGTTCTCTGCTCTTGAGGAGTTCAAAGTCTCATTTACGCCCGATGTCTCATTAATAATTCTCTGTGCAGGAATGGCTTCTGCACAGAGAAGCAATGAGTGGTGACTGAGCCATCACTTGATATTGGGTTTTCCCTCACATGGACCCTAGTTTCTTTCATTTTCTTTATACACATCTAAAGCAGAATTATTATTGAAGGTCATTAGAAATTAGCTTGGATTCTGATATATGACAATGGCTGTAAAAGTAAAATATTAACATTCTTCTTTAAAGAAAAAACAATCCCAGCAGTCCCTCCTGCTGAGATTGTTTTTCCTTTAAAAACAGCCCCTGTAACTGTGGCATCATGTGTGTCTGAAGTTCTTGCACTGGGTCAACTGATGGGGGATCCTGTGGTGACTAGTTTGTAGTAGGCTCCTTTTCGGGCCATCAGTTCTTCGTGGGTCCCTTTTTCAATCACCACCCCCTGTGCCATGACAGCAATGATATCCGCGTTCTGGATGGTGGACAAGCGATGGGCAATGACAATGCAGGTCCGACCCTCTCTGGCTTTGTCTAGAGCAACCTGCACCGTCTGCAAAGAGAAGATGGAGAGTTGATGCAGAGATGCATGATTGCTCCCCAGCCCTCCATCACGAGAGTTCAGTTAACACGACCTGAATAACAATCCTATACTTGAGGGCAAACCCAAAGGCTCGGACATAAGAGAGGGTTAAGCAAGTACTCAGTAAATGCAATGCATCAGAGATCTCGATGGCGGTGGACAGGCCGAGAAATTTCAGTGACGCAAGAAGAAAGCAAACTAGGAATTCCTTATGTAATTTTACAATATTTGATGGTCTAGTTTACTGAAATGAAACCAAGAAAACAATGGAGGCTAGCAGTTAAGTGGCCGTTCCTGATGACTGCTCTTCATTGAGGACATTTTAGCTCTTTCCAAAATGGAATCCTGATTTTCAAGGCGTTAATTACACATTTCAAATTTCATAATTGTGTTTTGCTCAATTGTATCTTCTTTCATCCAAACCACACATCAGATATCACCTCTTATTTTGTTTTGTACGTGGCCTACCTTCTCTGTCACATAGATTTAGAACTATAAAATATTTATAACAGATAACCTAGATTGTTACTTTATTCAAGAAAGGTGATTATTTGCCTTTGAAAAAAAGTCACTTAGCCTAAAGAATCTTAAAAACAATTCTTATTTTAAAGGTAAAATATTTTATTTGACACGATCTTATATTAAATCATTTGCTCTAGATAATTGTCTTTTGGTTCCACAAAGTATTGCCAATTTTTACTGTAAATGAATCAGAAAATTGAAAATGGTACCATTTTATAAGCACAGATTTTACAGCAAAAGACTCTTTGTAATGATCTAAGACTTTAGAAAGTCAATACTTACCTTTTCACTTTCTGTGTCTAAGGCAGAAGTGGCTTCATCTAGTAGCAAGATTTTAGGATCTCGTACAATGGCCCGAGCAATAGCAATGCGCTGTTTCTCCCCTCTGGAGAGTTGAGACCCCTGGGACCCAACGTTAGTTTCGTATTTCTGAAAATGTATGGTAAGTTTAAGAAATAGAAACAGTTATTGCTCCTGTACTGTACAGAGCTCATGTCTCCTCTGTAATTTAAATTATTTGTTTGAGGAACTAGGGAATAGTGAGTGAGTC